CAAACAAGGAACAATCTGTAATCCCTGTTTCTGTTTTGTAGCGTATGCAGCACCCGCCATTTTCGGATTAGGCATGCTAGGAGGATTTGGTGATAAACTCGGACTGGGAGGTTTATTTGGTCGCAAGAAGAAAGAACCTTCTTACAGCCCCATGTTTGGAGGATCTTTTGGCGGAATCAACGCCAACGACATGTCCATGATGTTCATGTCAGGATTTCCACCGACAGGGGGCGCTGGCGGGATGCAGGGAGGGTTCGGTGGAATGCCGGGAGCTCCTGATATAGGTGGAGCTGGACTAGGGTTTGGGGGGTCGGGACTTGGTGGGTTGGGCGGTCAAGGGCTAGGTGGGATGGGCGGTCAAGGGCTTGGTGGTATGGATATGGGATTAGGTGGCGGTGGCATGGGATTGGGCGGAGGGATGGGATGGGGGGGAGGCATGGGATTAGGGAGTCCAAGTATGACCGGAGGATTTGGACAACAGTCGATGAGTCAAGGTCAATCCGGCTTTGGAAGGAGGCGTCGGCGACGCGCCATTAGGTATTGTCACTGATTGCAGAATTAATAAAAGATAAATATACATAGAACTTGTAACATGACTCTATTATTAGTTAAAAAAAGAATTACAAACAATATGTAATATAAAAAATCTTTCTGTTGTAGGTTGTGAAGCAGTCCTTGACTATCAAGTTGAATAAGTGCTGTGATAATAACTATTTTAGTATTTGTGCACGATTTTTCATTGTAACAAAATCATGTCTTACATGGAAAGTTTTTTTTATTAAACATTTGTTGAAAGTTTTGTTGGTCTGTTTAGCTCCTCTTTATAGTGATCAAAGTTTGTTCGTCTCTGTGTTATCTTTTTGCAGACTAGACCTGCCAGAAAATGTTACTTCCAAGTAGTTACTAGTATTAGGGCAGTTATTTTTAAAATGCATTCAGGTGAATTTCTGTACTTTATGAAGTAGCGACTTACATGTACATGTACACCATCTCATTGGTAAGGATTTGTGATATCATTTCTGATATTGTTCCTCCAGCAAATACATGTATCACAATACCTTGCATTGTAAAGATGAGATACACAAAGTAGAGCCCTTTTGATTCCTAGATCAAAATGTCAAGGTCGGAACATCAGACTGAAAAGACGGGTTCAAATCCCACTGCGGGACGTGAAGATTGGTCTTTCGGTTGAGACCACATATAAACCTAGTCCGAAATACCTGACGTTTTCCAAGCTTTTTCACGATTTCAATATATTTTACGTACCATTTTTCCTCGTCAGATATTTCGGATTAGTATAAACCAAGGTCCCGTGTCGCAGTAGGTGTTGGCAAAAAAACCGCCACTGCTCAATGGCCCTAAGTGGCAAGTATCCAAAATTAAGGCGGATCCAGGGCGTGCGCCCTCCTGTTTGAATTTCTCTATTGAAATTTTGTTAGTACTATCCTATAATAGAAGGAAAAATACGTGTTTGTTAGAATTTCCTCATTTTTCCAAGGGCTTTGCCCCCAGACCCCTACTAGGGCAGGTACGTAGCATCGATTTTGAAAGTGGGGGGGGCAGCCACAGAATTTTTTTTTTACTTACCTGAAATAGTTGACAAGCAAAAAAAAAAATTTAAAAAAAAAAAAAGGAAAAATGCCCAAAGTCGAAAATCCTATTTCGTGTGTGTGTGTGTGTGGGGGAGGGGGGGGGGAGGGGGGTAGAGGCAAACTTTTTTCACTACCAATTCCTTTCGATATCCATTTTTTTAAGCTTACATTACTATATTTCCTTCATATTACTTTACTTTAATATAAAGTGGGGGGCCAACCAGCCTTTCAATGAACATTTTCAATAGTAAAAGTATTGCTGGCCCCCCCGGTTGCTACGTCCCTGTAGGGCTTTGCCTTGGACCATCTGTGGGCTTCCATGCAGCCGCCCGCACCATGCATGACCTTCTACTGCGCCCTCCCGTTATGAATTTGCTGGTTTCGCCACTTAAATTGGTCTAAATTTGCAGTCCTCCACCGGCAAATGTTGGAGTATCGATATGAAGGGCAAATTTCCGATAGAAATATCCACTTAAATTGGTCTAAATTTGCAGTCTTCTACCGGCAGATGTTGGAGTATCGATATGAAGGGCAAATTATCGATAGAAATATCGACTATATATTAAATACAACTGAAACGCGGGTGCTGCGCACGAACACATTCCCTTCCCACTGTGCATACACTTCAGCATTCTTCGACTTTGACGCAAAAAAGGAGAAATTTTATAGTTTCAAAAAGTATAAAATATTAGTATACAAATAAATTTTAAAAAGTTTCAAAAAGGTAAGGTAAAATATTAGTTTTTCGAGTTCAATTACTGGATATACTTTGTAAGCATGTCGATCGAAGATGAATATTTTGTATTAAATAGTAAAAGAGGCGGGATAAAGGTCCTGTACATAGAGGTAACAAAGGTCCACCAGTCTGACCAGAGTTCCTTTGTACTACAGTCTGACCAGAGTTCCTTTGTACTACTCACGGCAGACTGGGAAGTTGATGGCGGGAAGTGTTTAAAATTAACGGCAATATTTACTGAGATATCACTAAATACTTTTCATTAATTACGACATAAAAATGAAATCAATTAATATATCTTGCTTTACATAAACATGTGAAACTGTTTTTGTCTTTGAGGTATAATATTTCAATATTTAACATATGGTTTTTCCATCAGTGGTATATTTTTTTGTTATAAAGGTGTGTTCGATATTTATTTATGCCTTTCATAGCTTATGATGCCTTTCAATTTGAAACTAGGCCCATCAGATTTCATGATTTTAGTTTTCTCATCCTTTCGGCTTAATTCTTATGTACAGTACCTGGCCATAAGTCTGTCATAAAATGGCTGACGTAACGTAACGTGAACAACGTGAACGCAAAATTCAAAAATAAAAAAAATTCTATAAATATTAAGCACTTACCTTTTTATCTCTAGTATTTAGTTGCATGACCCTTAGATCATGATGTCAGAGGAGTCTCATTGGTTTTACGAACTATTCGAGGAACGATTGCATGTAATACAATCCCAAAGTGAAAGTAGATTTCAGATGATGCGCACATGTTACATCAAGTCTACTGTCGTCCAACAATGTTGCCTATTACCTAGAATTTCTATTTTAAGCAGTATTTAAGGGGACAGTTCGAAAAATTTTGGTGGGTATACTTAGATATCCGTATATTTTTATTAATTTATCTGTTCGGTGTCTGTTTGTCCTTGAACAGTTTAACGGCTGATTTAAGACCACACGTGCATTGCATACGTTAGCTTCTTAATTACTTTTTTATGCAAATCATTTACATCATCTTTTCAAGTGGAATTTTTTATCAAAATGTTATAAATACAGACGTAAAGTACGAAAGACCCATTTAGGATTTGGAATCTTTCGGCGAAATGGTTGAACTGTTGAAGGTAAAATTGCATATTTTACTTATTTGTCATATGTTTCAAACATAGAGAAAAAGTTGTCTAGGAATTGTTATTTATTATTCAGATTTAATACTTTATATATTTTTATTCTGCATTCCTGCTAAGCTTATACCTAATGTAAATTAAAATGCACGCATTGTAAAACTAGTTTAAAATTTCTTCACTGTACATCAAAGAAATGAATATCACAAATGAGAGGTTATAATTTTTTAATATCATTGAAAGTGTACATAATTTAATCTTGTTACTCATAAACAAGACTCAGGGTAGCTTAGATGTGAACAGGATGTTGATGGTTAAAGTGCCTAGCTGATGCATACAGATACACTAGTATACAGATACAGTATAGATGATAACGAGCAAAGACAAGTTAACAGGAAGTATTCATAGGGTCTTCTCTTGATGGTATCATTAAAAAAATGTTTTAAAAGGATTTGGTTATGGGCACATTTTCTTATATATTTTGCAGACTTCTCAAAATGAGCCATTATCAGCTCTTAGGTGACATCATCAGATTTCTGTTCAGAATTGCAGTACAGACCATCAGGGTTGAAAGCTCTGATAGAAAATTGTCTGCTTTTCTGACATAGTTTTGTTTTTGTTGTAAGCTTTTCACATTTTCATCTTCTTCTCAAGAACCGCTACACTATTTTCAACCAAATTTAAAGGACAGAGTTTTTTTTTTGGATGAAGGGAAATAAAATTTATTCAAACGAAGGATCAAACTCTCTTCTAAGGGGAGATAATTAAGAAATAGTGAGCATTGGAAGGGGTTATATCAAACTTCAGATGTGGATCTTTCATTACATTCTGTTACTTATGAAAATAAACTTGATTTAACATGTTCAATTTTGTTGAAATCATGACCTCCAGGGGTAGGATGGGGTCACAATGAGCAATCAAAGTTTTACATAGGACTGTTTAAATAAATAGAACAATATAATTTCTGAAATAGAACTTTGACATAGCAAATTTAAGAAGGGGGTGTTTAAAGGGGTGAAAATAACTTTGAGTATTATACTGTAGTCATATTTAAACAAATGTAACTCAGGTAGTGTTGACAAGGTTTTACATTTCATGACCCTTTGGGGAATGGGTGGATCCAAAATACTGTATGTGTACTTAAAAAAGCATGCTTCATATTTTAGTACCTTTGGCGCAGACAAGGATGTGCTAATTCATGAATACCTCTAAGAAATTATTTATAGATATACAGTATAGGTACGGACATTTGTACTGCTAATTCATGATTACGCCAACAACTCCATACCCAGTGATTGCACTAAATTTTGAATACGCCCATTTATGTACACATACAGTATGTGATCAAAATTTTAAAGAAGAAAATATGTTAAAAAATCTTCTTGCAAAGGAAAGCAAATGATTTGACTTTCAATTTCTAAAGTAAAAAATTTAAAACTAAAGATTTCGAAACTGTTTTCTCACATCTGTCATACCATACAGTATAGGATTGCTGTTTTGTGGTTGCATTTTGGTGAAAAACTGTCCTTTATAATAATTTATTTACAATTTATTTATCATAGTTATATAGATACTGTTTATAAATGGAGGTTCATGAAATAAGAAAAAAACCTGCATATTAATGTAATTGAAAATATTGCAATACAGTTAAATGTCTCTGTAAATCACAAAACAATTCAAAATGTCAGAAGTTATTGGTCTGTTGAGACAACTTTAAAAGGATAAGGAGTTGGATTAAATATACATGTTGGTTAACAACTGTCTCGATGGAAGCTGATTGACCAATGATGGAAAGTGAAGAAATCCAGAATCATGTGCAGAAAATTTTGTGCTGTAAATTGCACTTGCATATCTAGCATTATAGCAATCCCCCATGCAGAGTTGTTTTTCATACCTCTCTCAGACACTTCTGCAATGGGCTCATGGCCCATATCAAGATTTTTGACATATTAAAGGTATAAATCGTAATATTTAAAGGATTGTTTCAAATTAAACCAATAGTTCTAGATTGATTTAGTAAGTATATATATCTCAAAATCAAATATAAGTATAGACATTGAATTCTAAGGAATTAATTAAAACAAATGCACTACTTCTTTTGCTTATCACTGTGACATATGCGAGGCAGTGACAGAGGTGAATGTTTGAGTGGATGATAGAGAGTGGTATTTAATAAGGTCAAAGATTAAAATACAAAACCATTATGAACATTACAGTTAAGGAACAGACAGACAAAAGGATCCAAAAAGAAATAAAACCTTTAAATAAAAAAGGAAACAGATTAACATGATTGAAATCATTCATTTCGTTGTTGGAGATGTATCAGAAATATATTACACGTAATATTTTACCACAATATTAAATATAGTAATAAATCTTTCTGTTTTTTCTTGTTCTTTTCAAGTAGCATGGAAATATGTAAGCACCAAGTGTTAAAAGAAATGGGGTCGATTGAGCCGTAAAAGGAGGAGATAAAGATGACAGCATACCTGTACAGGTATTTTGGATCAGAACAGGCACTCACCTGAAGGTCTACATTTTCAAATTTCAAGGTAAGATATTCTGCATCTACTGCAGGTTTTGTACTTGCTAATTATTTCATGTATTTGGCATATTGGGTATATATACCTTGCAGTAAAATATAAAAAATAAGAAAAGTCTGGAATTCATCTTTACTGATATTTAACTGTTTTGCCATTTTACTCAAGGAGGCAAAGTTGCACATATACTTAACATGCCATAGTTTCTGATTCTTATGTATATATTAACTGAAAACTTTGAATTTTCCTTTGCTATCCACTGGCATACACAATATAATGAGTCATTTGAGAGTAATTTTACCATGCCTGAGCCAAAAGCTCATATTAGCTTTTCTAATTACCAGTACCCTTTCTTCATCCATCTGTCTGTGTTGTGTTGCTGTTTGTACAAGGGTTATCAGGTAAAATCATAGATTCTTTAATACATATATTATGATTATTTACATACTTGCAAATTTCAAATAGATATATGCATAAATAAACAAACATTTATAAATGAGATTTTATGTATTGTATTGCCTTATGGGCTACGGCGCACAGATGATAATGTTAAAAGTGTATTAAACAGCATCACATTTCATCTTTGCTAAAAATAAAGTTGTATAAGTCACACTTAACTTTAGGAATTTCATTGATACACATACCTGAGTCTCCATAAACAGTAAAGGAACCAATCTGACCCACACATGCGACCTTCTAAAGATCGGACAATATTCTCACCATTATTCAACTAATAGACAGTCTTATATCGACGCCATTCGACGGTCGACAGTGACAGCGTCTTTTGCTATTACAATAGCAAAGTTAGTCAGGTGAGCATCCTGGCCCATGGGCCACATGATATAAATATATTCAGATTTATTTAAGAGTGTTCAACCAGTCTCCATTAAGCTTTTTCTATTTGGAGTACTTTAATGCAGTAAATCGAGTGAGATAAGAATGTGGGCTGATTAAGCCTATTTCAGGTTCTCTTCTTTCTGTGTGTTATTTTTATTGTAGATGGACAGGGACAAAATACTGTAGAGTCTGGGCCATTTTGGCCTATTCCAAGTCCTCTTCTTTCTGTGTGTTATTTTTACTGGAAACAAAATACTGGAGAGTCTGGGCCATTTTGGCCTAGTCCAGGTCCTCTTCTTTCTGTATGTTATTTTTATATTGTAGATGGACGGAGATAAGATATTGGAGAGTCTGGGCCGTTTTGGCCTATTCCAGGTCCTCTTCTTTCTGTGTGTGTCCTTTATCTACATGAGAGGAGCCTGGCCAGTGATGGCCATTCTGTTTCTGGGAGGAGACCCGGGTCATCACTGTACGGTACAGACATTATCATCTGTCAATCTGTCCATTTGTCATTCTGTCACAAATAATTTTAACCTTGGTCATAAATTTTGAACGAGAAAAGATTAAGGCTTTCATATTTTACTTGTACAGTACCTGTGACAAGACCTATCCAAGTTTACTTTGACCCCTTGACCTAGAAGTTTGACCTACTTCTCAAAAGAATAATCATTACTTTACCTTGGTCATAATTTTTGAATCAGAAGATATATATAGTGCTTCCTTATTTCATATGTACATTACCTAAGACAAAACCTTTGTAAATAGATTCGGCTTTATGACACTGTTGACTTGACCTCAGATTTTCAACCTCTTTTAAAAAACATTCATTGATCTTTAAAATTTGAGGTGTTTTTGTTCAGCGGTGATGGAAACTGGGTTTCTCCTTCTTATGAATTAAATTAATGCGTAAATTCTCAGTGTAGGAAGTAAAACTCCTCGTGATTGCATTGTCTGGAAAGATCTGTAATATGTGTATCTGTAATACATGTATGTGAAAGGGTTTTGGTGTTGGGCTTACTTGTTTGGAATCTTAAAATTTAACTCTAATCTCATCCTACAGGTGCCTGTAAATGAATCAGTGACAGCCATTATTCCTCTGGACTCAAACGGAGATTTTGAGAAATGTGTGATGAAAGCTCCAACCCAAAATCAAACCAAGACATGTGATCAAGGGTGGACATATGGAAGCGAATTTGATTCGACTATTTTAACAGAGGTACATATTTCATTTGAAAATAAAATAAAATCCCACAGAGAATTATTTTTAATGAAGATAAGAGCTGAATTCTGTTATGACTTAAGTCATCAAGTAATAATGATATGAATCATTAGTATGGGAATTAAATTGTTACAACACACAAAAGTTTTTAATACTGGAGCTCTGTTGAGACATTACGATACTGTCAATTTTTAATTTCTACATTTTCTTTACCAATGGGACTTTTAGAGCAAGAATTCTGCTATGACTTTAGTCATCTAATGATACTGATATGAATTATAAACATGAAAATTAAAGATGTGGCTACAATCAAGAATTCTTAGAACTGGATCTGTGACAGAAAGTTTGACGTATCTTTTTGATATTTCTCTTCCAGTGGGACCTGGTGTGTGACAATAACTTTCTGGTGGATTTGTCCTCCACGATCTATATGGTGGGGAACACGCTGGGGGCCCTATGTCTCACGCCGCTCTCGGACAAGTTTGGCAGGAAGTGGGTCATTCTGGGCATGCTCTGGATACAAGGGGCCGTCGGCATAGGAACAGCCTTTGCCAGCAGTTACGCCATGTTCACTGTGTTAAGATTTTTTATTGCCGTACTAAACATGGTATGTTTTATACAATATTCCTCTTTATATTTTAAACATTTTAGATTGTTCTTCTTAGTTAATTATTTACAGTTATTTGGTAATTAAATTTATTTATACCGAACAAGGTAAGAACTTTAAACAGGTCGAGGTCAATTGAAAATAGGGGTCAAATAAGGCTTTGTTAGGTCACCTGAGTAAAACTATTGCTATCCGTTTTCGTCCGTCGTCGTGCGTTAACATTTGAACATTTTCAGCTTCTTCTCTGAAACCGCTGAACCAATTTCAACCAATTTTGGCATATAGCATCTATGGTGAAAGGGGAACAAAAATTGTGAATTTCATGGTCCCTGCCTCCATGGGTCCTGAAGGGTGGGACCAAAACCACTAAAATTAATGCAATTTTTAAAAATCTTCTTTCTTACTCCTGGACATCAAGCAGTCAAACTGTTGGCATGGTTGTAATCAGCATTGAGTCCTCTACCAAAATTGTGAAATTCATGGCCCCAGGGTCGGGGTTCTAGTGCTAGGGCGGAGATAAATAGATTATAAAGTGAAAATGCATTATTTCTTTGAAAATCTTCTGCTCTGCCCGTGGGCATTGAATAAACGAAATATACTCTTCAAAAAAAGAAACGCATAGTAGAATTTTAGTGACACATTGAACATGAAAATTATTTAGTAAAATGATGCATTGATAAAACAGAAATGTGGTAAGCAACAGGAATACTATTTAAATGTCATAATTACTCAACAATTTTAAAATTATAGCCAGTTTAAGACCATTAAAGATCAATGTCTGGTATGCCCCCCGCAGACACAAATGATAGCCACAAACGGCATCTAATGGAAGCAAATGTGTGTAATAAAAACTGTATAGGAATACTCTCCCACTCCAAATGTAGAACTTTGGTCAGCTGTTGCAGAGTCTGGTGATGCGATTGTCTTTGGCAAATCATGTCAATCCATTTTGTCCAATGCTGCTTAATTTGGATTAAATCTAGCGATTTAGATGACTGTGGCTGAAACAGGTTGTTGTTTCTTTGCAAGAATAGGTGTGTCAAACGAGCCATATGTGGCTGTGTATTGTAAGATTGGAAAACGGCTCTAGGATGCTGCAAACTTGAATGGGTATGTCTAGGTAGAACATGGTTAGAGTACCTTTTTCCATCAAAGTCCATTGCTTTCGAACCAAATCAATCTTACTTTCTTATAATACCATTTTCAATATCATTACACTACCACCATCAACTTTTTTAACGTCCTGGAGGCAGTTATCTGTCTAATATTCATTACAAAGCATTAGCACTCTTAAACTTATAAGAGGCTTTCAGATAAACATTCTGGACTAGTAAATTAACCAAAATGTTCAGCAGTGATGCTGTGGTCATACTCTATTGATCTAATATCTTTGAAGTCGATATTTGGAGTGTTGTGGGGTCGGAACAATGGCATGAATAATCCTCTTGCACTAATTCGTAGTCAACTGAAAACGGTCTTGTTAGATGATCTGTGCAGTTCAGGTATAGCTAATGCTTTAGATGACGTCCTTGCATTACATTCATGAAATTTACGTAATCCTCGGAAGTGATGCTGTGTTGCTGATGTCACACGTAGTCTACCATATTTTTTGCAAACATTGGGTGTTCGATGTTAATGGTTTATGTTTTATAGGTTAGATAGGGTCTGTTTGTAACATAAAAACATATTGCAATTGTAGATTGCGGTACCCCTGCTTCCAGTCGCCCATTTTCCTTTTTGTGCTACGCAACATTCAGATGCAGCATTTTTTGGAAGCGTCATTTTTCAAATAAAACCAGATTCAAAATATCGAGAACCCCCGCTTTTGATAGCCCCTTTGTACCTGAAGGAATTGCATCGGAATTCAACAAATGAAAATTGAGATCAAAATTTTAGGGGAAATTTTGCAAAATCAGGTCTTTTTGTCTGTGAGACTTGTAGAATAGCTGTATAGTTAACAATTGCATTAAAAAATCATGCATTTCACTCGAATACATTGTATCCATACAAAAATAAAAGGTATGACAAAACTTTTATACATTTTTTAGGGCATTGTTCCTACTATGCGTTTCTTTTTTTGAAGAGTATAAGTACATAGTTATGTTGAATAAGGCTGCCTCTTCCTAAAATGTGAATTTCATGGCCCCAGGGTCAGGGGTTTTGGTGTTAGAGCGGGGCTCTAATGTTTATATAATGTAAATACATGAATTCTTTGAAAATCTTTTCCTTTGCTCCTGGGTATCATGCCAATGATTTAAGTACATATTTATGATGTAGAAAGCTGCCTTTTCCAAAATTTCCAGGCCCCTGGGTCAGAGGTATTTGGAGGGGAAGGGGGAGTACTTAGTCTGAAAATAATTTAATGCTTTGAAATTTGGTATTTATGAACAATTTATGATGAAATAAAATTCATGATAAAATTTCCAAAATTTTGAAATGTGTAGCCCCAGAGTCTGTGATTCCTGTGGGGTGGGGTACACAACATTTTCTCGTTGTTACTCTGATCTACCTATCGGTATTAAGTACCCAAAGTAAGCATGCTGTATAATTATGATAAGCAATGGTGCCTCTTTCAAAATTGTGAATTTCATGGCCTCTGGTTTAAAACATGAATCAAATTCAATTGTTGGAAAGTTGTTAGGGGATACTCAGGTGACCTATAAGGCCCGTGGGCCTCTTATTTAACGAGGCCCGATCTACTTGATCTGCGCATACGTTTTTACGCAGCGTCGACTCAGGCACGTCACAATACCCTTGACGGCCGTCACAATTGAACACAATAACGTCACAATTAAAATGACGTCAAATTGCGCTAAAATGTTTCGCTGATCTTGCTTACCTGGTAGTTCTACACACTATGCATTGAAAGCTGTAAATATTTAGATTAATAAACAACTTTGGAACCTTATTAATTTTGAGGGATCGATTTTTTTGGTACAGATTCATTCATTTTACCTTGTTTTATTTCAGTTTGTGAGTTAAAAAAAAACAAACATTGTTAATTGAAAGCAAACGATTTTAGTCTTTCTCTTTGAACATGTTGAAGTGTTTATACACACTCTTTTTATTGCTGACTTAAAAATGCATGGATTATCTTCAGTTTTAAGAAATAAAATAAGTCCATAAATCATTTAAATTGAACCCCCGAAATATTTTATTTTTCTATATATAACATGATAGTAAAAATCGCGATTTTTGTCGCCTTTACCCCCCCCCCCCCCACCCCCACCCCCCTCCTCCCTCTACCCCTTTTTTCCACGTAAAACAACGTTGCGTGTTGAGAGAAAAATAAAGCATGGCGAGAAAATTATTTCACAATGTAAGAATTATTTATTTTTTAAGAAACTAATACAGTATTGCAATCGTTTGTTGGTGTTATGTAAACCCACAGCCACCTACACATGTATAAAATAAATCCAAGTTTTTCACTGCAATAAAGGCTACCTCCAATTTTCTTTTCATTTTTTATAAGAAGAATGAAAATTGTATGACATATGTGAAAAACAAAGAATTTCATCATGTATTTTTTTTTAATTTGCAAATTTCTTTGTTTATTGAAGAGTTTTAGTATGTAATTGTGTATAAAAACACGAAAAATGGTCCATATCTTGACAGTACCCCCATTTCACTACAATAAAGGCAAGGTAACAAAATTTCATTCTAATTTTTCTAAGCATAAAACACACAAGTATATTTCCAAAAATTAAAATTTTTCATCATTCCGTTTTCGTAATTTTCAACTAGATCGGGCCTCATTAAAACACAAACCTATTCAATTGTTGGATAGTTGTTACATGAATGATGATACTCAGGTGTCCTATAAAGCCTTTGGACCTCTTGTTTAAAACATAATAAAAAATTGGAAACAATTCTAAATAAGCCTCTTTAAATGGCGTTCACTTCAAAATTATTCAAGGTTTTACTTTGTTTATACACATGTTTATACATGTATAATGTTTATAGTTCCTATAAAAGAATTGAGTTTTCACAGAGCAGAATACTTATTTATCAGTACTATTGCATACCTCTTTTATTTATTATAATTATATAAAATACAAACACAATGATGCGTTTCACTGTAGATATTTGATTTTCTTCACTTGTTTGTTTTCCCTCTGAGCAACAAACAGATTGTCATTTGTATCTGTACACAGTCCCCAGGGTTTACTCAGTCCACAGTCTATGTAACGGAGGAACTGTCCATCCTGGTCTATGATGTGGACACAGTCATTGTCGTAATCAGCTGTAAGGATGTGACTCTGACTGTCTGTGGTGATTCCTAGTGGATTGAATGGTATGTTCTTTGGAGCAGGAGTATGTCCAGTGTACCTGAATCTCAGTTTCCCGGCCTGATTGACCACCACTACTGCTTCAGCTCCACTGTCAGACACACAGATATCCAGGTTCCTGTTCTCAGTTATGTATCTGTAATAAGGACCAGATGAATAGAGAGGTTGACATTTATCATCAAACTGAATGGTTTGTTTCTCTGTGGAGCCAGAGTAACGGACAACTTTTGTTTGTTCTTCATCATCACTGTACATGATAATCAGGAGGTCACCAGAGGAGGTACTACAGACTCCGCGAGGTATCCAGTTCTGTAGTCTGATCAACTCCTCTATCTTCTCATTCTTCACAATGTTCACAGTTCTATCACTGTAATCAGTATAAACTAGATCTCCACTTTTTGTCACTGCTATGTCAGTTGGATTGTTCCCTGACTTGGTTGTGATTGACTTGAGTAGTGATCCCTGATTGATGCTGTAGAGTTTCATTGTTTTGTAACCTCTACTTGTCCAGATTTTTTCATCACTCAGACAGGCCACATTGTAAAGGCCTCTATACCCAGTGTCTATGGTGGTGACAGTCTCTGGTTCATCAAGCAGCTGTTTGACTGGAGGAGAGGATCCAACTTCTGGTGATTTCTGTGTCGTCTTCATGCTGTAGCCATGTTTATCTGAAGTTAAAGAACTTGATGATAAGGTTCCAAACAGTTTACAAAGTTTACAAAGTTCTTCTCCTTGGATTTTTCCTGGAATGAATTTGGGTAAAGATGGTATAATTTTGTGTGGAAGATTTCTGTATATTTGTACATTGGTTGTAACACTAAATAGTTCTGACAAGTCATTAGTGTCTATTGCTATTTCAATTGAATCAATTTCTCCCTTGATGTCAGACATTGTCTTGTTTATTTCATCCAGTTGTTTCTGTAGAGTTTGTAACTGTGTGTTTTTCATCTCATCAACTTCAGCTTTAAGTTTCTTGACAAGTTTGTCAATTTCTTTGTGCCAGTCCTCTCCATGTTTTGTTATGGCTGTTGAGAGATCTCCAAATTCCTTTTCTAACTGACTCATTCTGTTTTGTACATCAGAGGCAATGTCTTGGTAGGTTGGATATATTGTACCATTTAATTCATTTCTCTCTTTTATAATAATATCCTTCTTTTCATTCAGAACTCGCAGAATTTTAAATAATGTATGACCTAAATGCTGATTAGATTCAATGCAGTCGCTACAGACAGGAATGTCACATTGTTTACAGTACATGATGCATTGTTCTTTGTTATGAGATGTACATATAGGGTAGAGGGGAGTGGATTTTCTGTCCTTGAAGTCCACAATTTTATGAGGTTTTGAGAAATCTACAGAAAAGTGTTTTCCTACACAAGCTGAACACAGGTTGACAAGACATGTATCACAGTGCATCTGTACCACAGCGGTCTCACACAGGTCACATCGCAATACATCCTGGGCACTGGTACGGAGGTCCATGATCAGAGTAGTCCTATATAGTGTAGAAAAAGGTGGCATTGTTAATGCTAATATTACACTAATGGCACCTCAATGTATTGACTGTTATCAATATATTATCAAGTCACCTGTATTTATCCTTATTCAAGTTCAGGAGAACGAAAATATTAAAACTGAGTAGACATTCTAGAATTATGTTTAACAAATGATACTGAATTACTGTATTGTCAATTAAGTGACAGTCTCGCTGCCTTAGTACGGGGGTCCATCATTACACCAAAGTATAAAAATTCAGCATTAATAAGTAGACAGGTTTGAGGGCAACAAAAGTTTTTTAAAAGCAGAGAATTAAATTGTATATCTGAGGCCATTAAACATGCAGAAAATTTTTTCGGATAATCACATGTAGATAGCGATAGTCGAGTCATCATGTTCAATATGAGTTAAAGAGGTATTGTTTACATATAGCCAAAGAGTACAGTACTGAATTTTCAAAATTTGCAAATAGTTACTGCTATGTTTATTACCTGATTTTAGTAACGATGGCCGTCCTGTCTCTTGATCTTTGTGTACACTGATCATGTGACACACCTGTATTATCTAGTCTTTCTGTACTCTGATCATGTGACATATCTGTTATCTACCTGTCAGGTGATTTTACTTCCTGGTCCATGAGGGGGATTTAAACACCTTTCAAGCAATGATTCTTTGCAATGCAGCTTTTTAAATAATTTATATAATAATGCACTTCATGTGAATTTGACAGTCATCATAATTTTCTACTGTAATTTAAAATAATTAAGGACATATAATGCAACATACAATCTACTCTTTCCACTGATGATTTTCTAAGAGATTCTTGATTTTAAATTGAAGTCCCATAAAATGTTCTTAAACAAAAAATTAGCTTACATTACCAGAAGTTTTGACCAGATATAAAAGGATGAAAATGCTAGAATATTTTGAAGAAAAATGAACATAGATATACAATAGTTTTAGTTGGTATTTAAAAAAATTGAATTAGAGGGGTTGTTAAGTATTACCAGGCAGCATAAAATTGCAATATCTAGAACATAAATTTAACAAAAAATAAGAACATTTAAATATTTAAAAAAAAAACTATGTAGCATATGTCCTTAAGCACTAAACAAGTAAAAACAGATTAAAAAAATGTTCTCAAACTTTATTTGGAAACATGTGGACTAGCTCCATTATAGAGATTACAGAGCTCACCTCAACAAATGTTGTCTTAAAGTAAGGCAAAGTCACACAATTACCCAACAAAAAGTGTACATCCAAAAAAGCAACATTTATGAAATTCTTCATCACGAAAATGTGATCAAAATCCAGCATCTGAAGCAAGTTTAAGAGTTTTCATCCATTGATGCATCATTTGGGCAAGTTTGGTTTATATATATAAGCCTTACAGTTTCTTGGTAATACATGTAGACCTGCACCCATAACTTTTACTTGGTACATTATCTGGAAAAAGCATCTGAAGCAAGTCCGTTAGTGTGCATCCTAAGATGTATCATCCATGCAAGTTAAGTCATTACACAGGTTGGGGGGGGGGAAACATAAATTCCACTATTATAGTGGTATCTCACCATTATATTAAGTGAAATTACGCTATATTTCCTGCTGTGGATACCCTCAATTTCATTCGATACCATGCAAGGTGTTTGAACCGCAAGTCATGGTGGGTATTAAAATGAACAAAAACTGTCATGCTTACATGTTTTGAATTTTAATAAATTTTCTACCGTTGCGTTAATGCTAGCACTCTTTTCATTTTTAATATAGCAACCGATGATTGAAGGGTATTTAAGCCTGTTTGAATCTCACTTATTCCTCATTAATGTGCGCAAATTGATGCTTGTTACAATTGTCAACTCGGACTGGAAAGGGTTTGGAATTAAACAAGAATTGATCCCAAATTTAACACACTCTGAAAAATTTTTAAAAGTGCATAATTTTTCAAAGTGCGTTATAACAAACATCCCGGGATCATAGTGTAGATTCTAAATTGTTCAAATCATGACCCCAGGGGGAGGGCGGGGCCACAATAGGGATTCAAAATTTTACATCTATAGATGAAATAAAATTCATGATAAAATTTCCAAAATATTGAAATATGTGCCCCCAGGTGTGGTTCCTGTGAGATGGAGTGCACAACTGGTTACAAGGTGGAAATGTATTTTCTCTTTGTTACTCTGATTTACCTCTGGGTATTAATTAACCAAAGTAAGCAAGCTAAGTGTATAGTAATAATATAAGCAATAGTGCCTCTTTTAAAATTTTGAATTTCATGGCCTTTGATTTAAGACATGAACCAATACTACGGAAGCGTATTAGGGCCGCAGCAGTATTTTTTTTTAATTTGTCATAACAAATTATTAATTTGTTTAAACAAATTATTAATTTGTTATAACAAATTGATAATTTGTTATAACAAATTGATAATTTGTTATAACAAATTGATAATTTGTTATAACAGATTATCAATTTGTTTAAACAAATTATCAATTTGTTTAAACAAATTAATAATTTGTTATAACAGATTATTAATTTG